TTTCTTTCTCTGTAGAATATGTAGTATTTAGTGGATTAGGAAGAGCCACTTTGGGGACATGTTTTTTTGTAGTTCTCAAGACATTTGGGTAGTTCTCAAGAACTTTGAGGGGTTTTTTCCCCACAATCAACCAAAATGTGATTTGTCTAAATGTACATTTTACAAAAGGGAACACAGGACTTTAAAACTGATGATACTGTTACCGTAGTTAGCTAAGTACTAATAAGGAAGAGAAAGGAATCCGACATTGCTCAGCCTAATGGGCTGGAACACTGAACCTGTTAGCTTCTCCAGGAAGCTACAGCTTAACAGCCCTGACTTCCTTCCTTCCCCAGGAAGGGAGCAATTCACACTCCCTACAGGAGTTGGCGGAGAGGAGGGTGTAAACACATGTGCAACAGACGTAACAATGGCACAGGAGCCTGTCAGTCTAACCCAGAAAAGGAAACGGACCCATCAGAAGTCCACAGAAGCTTGGGAAGTTGATTGGTTATTTTGAAAAAGCTCCTGGTTAAAACCCTAGGGGAATGAAGAGCATGTACGTGCCCTCTCTCTGTCTCTCTCTCTCCCTCCCTTCCTGGCCCAATTCATTCAAGTGTTCAATCATTCTCTCTCACCCGGAAGCAGTGACCATGTGGTCTAGCAGCTACTGGGCCCGTGGCAGACCACGAGGGCTCCAAAGGACAAGCTTTAATGTGAAACAGAAACTCTGGACGCTGGCCTTTGTGTTTGCCTTGATGAAGACACAGTTGGACGTTTTCCATGGCAGGATGGACAGAGATGAGATATTGGGGACCCAGGAAGGGAACTCCTTTGATTTTGCATCACGAACAAACCTTGCCATACCACAATCTCCCATGTGTGGGTCCATAAAATATTTTTCTCATGATCCCATGGAAGACCCTAATGTCAACCGACAGCAATACCATTATGCACTGTTGATGGGATTCTAAAATGGTATTGCTATTAAGGAAAACAGTATGACGTTTCTCAAAAAATTAAAAATAGAAATACCACATGATCTAGCAATTCCATTTGTGTGTGTGTGTGTATATATATATATATATATATATATATATATATATATAGAATATATCCAAAAGAATGGTAACTGGGGTCTTGAAGGGATATTTGTATACCTGTATTTATAGCAACATTATTCACAGTAGCCCAAAGGTGAAACAACCCAAATGCCCACTGACAGATGAACGGATAAATAAAATGAGATATATACCTATAATGGAATATATTATTCAACTTTAAAAAGCAAGGAAATTCTGACACATATCACAACACAGATGATCCTTGAGAACATTGTACTGAGGAAAATAAGTCAATCACAAAAAGACAAACACTGTATGATTCTATTTAGAAAATATAAAGTTCTCATTTTAGTTTCCTATAAACAGAATTATTACAAACTATAAATTATATTCAATTACTCTTATTCATTCACAGATGTCTTCTTTATGACTTGAAAATTATAAAATGCTTAGAAAAATATCATATATTTTAGAAATGAATCTAAAAATAGTTCCTACCAAAAAAATGCAAATTGTTTTTAATAAAAGCCATCTCCACCATCCCCAGCACTCCCTTGCATGAGCATCTAATTTGCTAATTAAACTGATGATACCTGTCTTCACTGCAAGTTGTGGGTAATTAGATGTTACAACTGAACTACTAAGAGAAAATGGACCCCTCAAAAGGGCAGTCAGCAAGGTCATTATTCTGAGTCAAAGCAACCGAATTACTATTACAAGGAAGTTTAAACTAGAGGAATTGATCTGAACATTTAGTGGACTCTGTTTGGGGTCAAACCCTTTGTGCTTAGTGAATTCATAATATGCAATCCTATTAATACATTAAAATGAGTTTTGATAAAAGAAAAATACACATAATCAAAACGTGTACATAGAGGGAAAGGAATATGTGGAGATAGTCCCCAATGAGTTCCAGAGACTCCTAAAAAACTAAAAAGTGTGGAAGTCTAAATCCAAAGTTGGGACAGCCACTACCAGGTCACCCATTTAGAACACCTGGGAAGTGACTATCATCTAGAGCCACTTCCTCTTAGGCAGCTATAGAGAATAATCCCTCCTCTCCCCCATCTCCCCATGAAAGGCCCCGCTAGTCCTTAGGGGTCAGGAAGGAAGAACCATGTACCCAGACTGCCAAGCTGGTACTTGTAGTGGTAACTTTGAAAACAGAATATTGAGACCCTGGCTAGTAGCTCAGTTGGTTAGAGCATTGTTCCAATGCACCAAGGTTTGGGGTTTGATCCCTGGTCAGGCCACATACAAGGGTCAACCACTGAATGCATAAATAAGTGAAACAACAAAGTCAATGTCTGTCTGTCTGTCTATCTGTCTCTCTCTCTCTCTCTCTCTCTCTCTCTCCCTCTCTCCCTTAGTGGGTTCAGCAAATGTTTGTGATCTATTTTCAGTCCCNTCTCTCTCTCTCTCTCTCTCTCTCTCTCCCTCTCTCCCTTAGTGGGTTCTGCAAATGTTTGTGATCTATTTTCAGTCCCCCCAGTGACTGTCTTCACACTGTTTTCATGAGACAATATGTTCTTTGGTCCAAACAACCAACATACAAATAAACTTACAGAATGACACTTGTTTGTACATTGGTGATACAGAAGGACTTCGGAGCCTGAATAAATTACAGTAACAAGACTCTAAAGGTTTCTTAAACATTTATGACTGTGGGAAGTCCTGACAGAAGACAGGCCATCCAAGACGGGCACATATAGCTCTTGATCACTTATCACTTAGTCACTGGCTTTCGCTGAGCAGCTGGATGGCAGGTCTCCACTTTATTCCCCTAACAAGACAGCCAAGCTGCAGTCTTTTTCACGGGTGGCGCTGTGGTGTCTAGCCCTTTGGACTCTCTCTGCAGCTTACACAGAGGGAGAATAGGGGAGAAGCCAGCGAAGCGGAGGCAGCGGGAGACAGGCCCCTGCGCAGCACAGCTGTTTCACAGCAGAGAGAGGCAAGATGAAGCCTACCTGGGGCTGAGACATGGCAATACTGCTATAAGGCTGTATGCTCTTGTTTATTGATGGTCAAAACCTTTTGTTTTTAATTTGTAATAAATAGATGATATGAGCAAAATCTCACTAAAAAATAGAAAATTCATTATTTTTCATGTTTCAGGCTAAGCATTCAAAGGCATTTCTTACACTAGAAAAGTTATTTCTCTTCATAAGTACAAAGGACTTACTGGGGTGTCCCCAATTATTGACTTAATACATGTTTATTGGATGAGTACTGTCAGGTCTTGAATCAAAGCTTGATACTGTAAGAGGGAATGACAAACACTGAAATTCTTTGTATTTTGTAGGTGAGGAAATTCAGACTCAGAGAGTTTGCATGACCTACTCATAAGTTCACTGTCACAGACCTCCTACCCAGGTCTGTCCTGACTCCAAATCCTGTCATCTTTTCATTCTGTAATCTGATCTCCACATTTTTGTTCATTATAGGAAGAATAAAATAGTGAAAACATATCTTAAGCTAAAACATTTTTATGAAAGGTTCCACCAGTGTTCTTTTATAGTAAAAATGAAAAAGCTAATTTGTTTTTTTACTTGACCTATTTGCAAAACACAGTTTATAGGGCAGTTGAGAAAAAGGCAGAAGTGGAGTTGTTGTTTAAAAAAAATACTATACTGCCCAGCCGGGCATGGCTCAGTGGCGGAGCATCGACCTAGGATCCAGGAAATCGCGGCTCGATTCCCAGTCAGGGCACATGCCTGGGTTGCAGGCTCGATCCCCGGTGGGTGGTATGCAGGAGGCAGCCAATCAATGACTCTCATCCTTGATGTTTCTATCTCTCTCTCTCCCTTCCTCTCTCTGAAATCAATAACGATATATTTTTTTAAAAAATACTATACTAACTCTAAGAATAAGTGAGAAAAACCCTTATGTACCGAGACGCTCCATTGCAAAGTACGTCTGACACCTGTTAAATCGGATAGTAGGGAAGGGATCGTAGATCCTCACAGAAATCCCTGTTGCTACAGATCATAAGAAGAGACTTAATAATAATATGCTTTTGATTGCAGACATGCAGAGAAAGTTTGAAGGCGAAAACTAAAGAAAATACTGCATTAAGATTCTGTTTCAGTGAATATCAGGCTATACTTTTATGAAACTCCAGTAAAGCCTTCCCAGTGCCTTAGCCATGGGGAGGGGTGAATGCAGAGGATGTCAATTATATGGCTCCATATCCCACAAAAAGCCACCAAATGCACTTATTTGGCACAGAAAGAACTGAGAGATTGATGCGTTTTATCACAGCCAGTAGGAAATGTTTTAGTCTATAAATAAGTTCTCAGATTTGATCTTGCCCCCACTGTTTGTTTTTCATCAGGCAAAGAAACATTTGCAAATTTTTGTTTTCTAATCTTAAGTAGCTAAGTTAAAAATGGCTATGTCCTATCTCATCTGCTTTTGCCTTCCTGTATCTAAGTTTCTTAGAAAGTCAGCACGTTTTCACTTCAAATCAAAAGCCAGATGCCGATCTTGCTTACCAGTTTTGGGGGGGAGGGGGGGGAAGCAGAGGGGTATAAGAGCTGTCAGAGCCTTGTTAATTTGAGAGAGAACATTTCTGTGTTTTTACATGCATTATTTTCAACACAGACAATACTAGGCAAAGGCTTTGCTGGAAAGAACCCTCTTGTTGAAGAGAGCCCCTAAGCCTGGGAGGTTCATCTGACTTTGCTCAGCAGGAGGTGGGGTGAGGGTGGGGGTGCCATGCCCTCTGGGCAGGTGCTGGCCAAGGGGAACTGCCCAGGAGAGCTGGTGTGTGGGTGTCCGCTACAGTGTTCCAGCAAGGGGCAGCTTGTGCAGTCTGTGGAGGACTTGGGAAAGTGTCAGGCGGCAGACCCTCTGCGCCTGAAATCAGCACCTGCCCTGCAGATGAGAAGCGCGCGCCCTGCGGGCACCGCCGCCGGCTAGTTCTGCACCTAACGCGCTCTGCATCTCCCTCCCTAGAACACTTGAAGGATAAGTTAGAGGAATACATGGCCCGGTTCTCCAAAGTGAGGATCCTTCGCACCAAGAAAAGAGAAGGGCTCATCCGGACCCGCCTCCTGGGCGCATCCATGGCCAGGGGAGAAGTCCTGACCTTCCTGGACTCGCACTGCGAGGTCAACGTGAACTGGCTGCCGCCGCTCCTGAGTGAGTACAGCGCCTCCCAGCGGCCTCCTGGGGAGCGTGTGCTGTGCGTCCGCTTAGTGTGCAGCCTGCAGAGGCTAGAGACCCCCTCCTATGATGTTTACAGTGGGAGCCTTGAATTCTGCCTTAACCCCTGCTGAGGACAAATGGGTAGCTAGAAAACTGCATTAAAATTGACATTTTAGCCAGTACCACATGCAGTCTATCTTAAGGTCTGAAAAGGTTTCATTTGTCTTACACGTGTCCTTTGATTGCAGTTGTACTCACTGGGTAAATGCTAAAAGAAAAAGTGCCCAAAAATACTACCTATAACTACAGTAAGATTAAAATTCACACACACACCCGTCCTTACACATGCACGCTTTAACAATTATTACAGGATTAAGAAATGAGGAAAGAAAATTATTCAGCCTCAGAATACAGGGGAATGGTAAGCACCCTGCATTGTCTAGGATTTATAATGCCAGTTCTTTTCACCTCAGGCATCAGCCTAGATCCCTAAATCGATAATCCCCCGTGTTTAAGCAGAACCCCCTCAAATGCTCAGGGCTGCGATCCAGCTGACACGTTTTGACTGCTCCTACTATGACTAGGAGGGAAAAAGACCTGTCACACTGCACTTGAACTGTTAGAAACTGGGGGGAAACTGCAAGCCGTTCAAAGCAGAAAACCAATGTGTGGCTCAGTTTGAGTTTGACTTTTTTTTTTTTAATTTCACAATAAAGTCAGATATAAAATCCAGTAGTGGGTAGGGAACAAATTGTAAGCCTGAAAAGAAAAAAAAAATGTGTTTCTAAAAATTCCTGCTGGGCACCTATTGTGCTCCTTCTTATTTTTCTAGGTTTCACTAATTCAACTTTTATTGTGAATATATCTCTGGATTTGGAGCTCAAGCCTTAACAACTGCCTTCACAATAGCTGCCTCAGAAAAAAAAAAATGATTTGCTACTGTTTACTGTGTAGGATTTCAGCTAGAACCAGCAAAGAGCCATTAGTAAAAGACATGGGGGGGAAAAATCAATTGAAACTATACAGGATTAAGAACAGGAAACATCCATCAGCAAACAAACACCCAAGTACATCTCCGGATCCACACACGCCTACACAGACAGACGACTGCCCAGCCATCCTAATCAACAGGAATGTTTCAGTGCTCCTAGGGCCACAGATGCCTCTGAGCTTTTAATTAAATATACCTTGTCCAAGGACATAGCAATTTAGTTTCATCAGCAACAGTGAGATTCCCTCAAATTGAATTTGATCTATATGGTATTGAATACCTAAAGAAGTCAGCAAAAGGCCTAATTTATTTACGAACCAAAGTAATCCCTAAATGCCAGTTATCAAGCCTCTGATTGTTCATATGAATCTAACAAGAAAAAGAAAAAGATGGAAAAAAGAGAGAGAAAAGAGAAACCTGCTTTTTCTCATTAAAGCATTTCATTTCCTGTAGGCCTGATGGATAAGAAATGATTCAAGCTCAGGATCACTATCTTTTTTTATTTTCCTTTATCAGTGTCTTGACACATCATACAAAATGAAAAAACAGGCGGAGTCACACAGATTCTTGGTTCATTTTTCACCTTGGGATTATACCTGAATTTCAATTTCCCATTAAGAGTCTGTTTGTTTGATCCCTGGAAATTGAAATGTAGGCATAAGTCTTAGATGAAAAATTAGTCATGCTGCTTTCACTCTAAGCGAGTACAGCTGGATGAGAGCTGAAAGGAAATTTGAAGGGAGAGTTGACAGTTAATTTAACAGACTCATTCTCTTTGGGTCACCTTGGGACTCCTTGTTGGTCAAGGAACTTGTAAATCAACCTGACTCTGAATTTGATTGAAGAAAGTCACTGAAATCCTAATGCTAAAATACTTGCAGAGGTGATAGAAGAAATATTTGGGACATTGCAATGACAGTATTCTCTGTCAAAGACATCTATGGGGAAACACCATTTAGATAAAGATTAAAATCCATTATGAGGCTTGCCCAGGTGAAAACGGGTACTCACAGAGCCCTTAGTGGAGATTAACTTGATAATAGTGCTGGGGATCTCTCTGCCTTTAATTAGCTAAAGTAAGATTAAGGTGACCCCCAGGCTCACTGAGACCACGATGTCTAAAATCTTAACCTTTTCCACATGTCAGCATTCCACATGCCCCTTACCCTGTTTTCTTTTCTTTTCATCACATTTGCCACCTTCTAACATACAATATAATTTAGTTATTTATTATGTGTATCAATTTCTTTGTTCCTTTCCTGAAGACATGGATTTCTGTGATTGTGTTCACTGCTGTATTCCCAAACCCTAGAAAAGTGACTGGCACAAAGTTTCTATACAATAAATAGGTGTTGAATGAATGAATGAATGAATGAATGAATGAATGAATGAATGAATGAATGAACAAACAAATGAATGAAAAGGTATGTAAATCCCAGAGGGAGACCTTTCAAAGGATTCTGTGATTTCCACACCCTGGCTTGTAAGTGTCATCAAAATAATGATACTGAAATAACCAAGCCTCATTATTTCTAAACAATATGATATTTTTAAAAGATATTTCAATGTATTTTATTCTACATGCCACATCAGGTCTTCCAAATAACCAGAAAACAGATGGTCATACTTAAAAGTTCTGCCCCAGACAGTATTTGTTTGTTATAATAAATCTTGACTAAGTGCACATTCATGGGAAAAAATACTTCGCATGTAGCTATTCTAGGTGAGCAAAGTATGCAAATGCCAGTTCCCTGCACTGGCTATTATTGTCTCACTATAATAATGCCTATGTGGAAAAGAACAGAGCTGGAAATGAAAAAGATTTCACCTTTGTGCTGCATGAAAATCATAATATCAAACAAGAAAGACCACAGGTTTTAGGACTGGACCACTAAGCAGAAGTTGCATCCTGGTTCTTTCTCTCAAAAGATGAGTGGCCTCTGACAGGTTATTTAACTTCTCTGAGCTCAGGTTCCTCATATGTAAATGGGGAATGATAGTACTAGCCACTGTTCAGGAGTGCCAGGAGAATTAGAAATAGCATGAGCTCAGATCCCTTAGTAGTCGCTCAAGAATTAATAGTAGCAGGAATAGTAGCAGTAGCGTCAGGCCATCTAATATATGTTTGGATGTGATGAGAGAAGATAAGGATGTATAGCTTTGACAAACAGAGCCCATATCAAAGAACAGTAGCAAGACAGGACTTGGCAAAATCTCCGTAAGCTTGAGAGCAAAGAATTCTGTATATGAACTGTCAGCATTTAGGGGCAACGGCCCTTACAAGATTAGATACCAAAAAAAGCCATATTTACATTTTGGAACCTCCAGAAGGCAGGCCAGTATTTTCTCAGCAGGTTCTAGCTGTATGCTTGAAGGAACACAAGTACGTTTATACGCCACACATGTGGGATGCACTATAGAATGACAGATTGGGGACAGGTCAGAGCAAAGATGTGACAGAGGTAAAGCTAAATGGATTTCTGCAAGTCTCTCTGGGACATAACTTTCTTAAAAGAAAATACAACAAACTAATTGTGCCTGATCATTGTCCCATCCGGTTAAGTCCAGCATTCAAACAGAGATCCCACAAAGTGCTCTAACGAGGACAGGGAACCAGGCTGACAGCATTATGCATTAGAGGGATCTGTAGACTGCTCTTTGCTGAAAAAAATGATAGATGACCCTGGCAGGCATGTCATTTCCTATTCTGTGCTTTCATTTTTCAGACCAAATTGCACTAAACCACAAAACCATCGTGTGCCCCATGATCGATGTCATTGACCACAATCACTTTGGGTATGAGGCACAAGCTGGGGATGCCATGCGAGGCGCCTTCGACTGGGAAATGTACTACAAAAGAATCCCCATCCCTCCAGAGCTCCAGAGGGCAGATCCCAGCGACCCTTTTGAGTGAGTAGCAGCTGAGGGAGGGGCCAAGGGAGAGAGGGCAGGTAACTCATTCCAGGGTGTCAAGTTGGGACCCATGAGAAAAATGATCTCTAATAAAATGGGATAAAACAGGTGGCAACAATGTGCAAAACATTGGAGAAAGGTCAAACCTACATGCTATAGAAAAATTACAAGCTGCACAAATACATGGGTCACCCTTTCTCATCCTTTGTTAAGTGTGAGAGAAAGTGTGCAGATGTGAGAATCAGGAAAATGCAGGGTTAACAGAAAATGCATGGAGAAAGAACGCACATTCTTCTTTTAGATAATCTCTTAGGTGTTTTCTTCTTTGATTGGCTCTATCTATTCTTTTCACTTTTCCCTGAAGGATTATTTAAATTAAGTATTCCACTCTTCTTTTGGGGGGGGGAATGATATAAAATATGAACCAGTATTTAAGCCTCTGTTGCACCCTGTTGGGAATGCCCCTCTAGGAGGAAAGCAGTGCTCCTGGAGAGGTGTTCCCATAACTTACCTTGGGGAAATCAATCAAAATGATGTATCCAGGATAAATAATCTTTGATAACCCTGCCACTAATTTAGGTTCTATATAGATAAGAATTTACAATAATCTATTGATTTCTATATAGCTAAGTCCTTGTGTGTTGTTTCTAGTGTGAACATGAGAATTGTGCATGCGAAGAATGAGAAAAAAAAAAACCACAAAATAGAGCTTAGTCTGATAAACTATTAGGACCATAAAGGGTAAATGATGAACTTTTTCCAAAAGTTAGCCCAGAGATTGCCCAAGGCATGCTATTATCTATTCCTTATTACTACATCCTTTTGATTTCATTAAAATCTTTAAAATTTTAAGACTATTACATATTTATCTTAGTGCATGAAAAATGTGATCAAGGCTTTACACACCCGCCAAGAGTCTGTTTCATATGCATTACAGTCAACATTGTCTTTTCATTAATAATCTGTGCTGTGGAAGTTTGCAGTAGAGATGCTCCCAGGTACCAAGCCACTTTTGCAACACTAACACTTTAAATTACAATAAACATTTGATGGACGTCAGGAAAATGTTTTCTCCAATTGCAACCTCTAGAAAGATAAACTATTTGGAAAGCAAAGGAGATTTCAGAAGACATTAGCCTGATAAAAAGGGATAGAAATCTTTTCTTAAAAAAAACAATATGAAGTATACTCATTAAGTATTCAAAATTTCTGAACTTAGACCTCTTCAGACTCTCAAGTTGATGGAGAGTTTTTGAGAAGAAATAGGAAGGCCCTTTGTCACTCTTCCAATTGCTTTGGCCAAGATTTCAAGGATATTCAAAACTACTAGAGAAGTTCTTTAGTGATCCAAGTGGAGGAGTTTCTATTAAGCATTTGAAATGGGCCCTGCTGAGAGGTACTCTTAAGACTTCCTGGCAAAGGAAGGGGGGATTTAAAGCCAGGTTGGGGGTAGACTGAGGATACAAAAAATCCTTAAGTACAGTGGAACTGTTATTAGATAGCAGCTGGCAGAATAGCCACAGTCTAGTTGTTATTTCCGAGGTTGCCATGTTTTAAGGGCTAGAAGTCATCCACGATGGCTTTTCAAATCCTGTAATGGGACTGGGTTGTAATGTCCTTCTAAGTGGACTTTACTTCCACTTAGAAGGACTTTACTCCAACTGCAGTAGCAGAATGGAGCGCCTGCTTTCTGCAGAAATAAATGGGTTCAACACACTATCAGGGGAATCTCAAATTATAAAAGTATTCCCAGTTGCTGCACTGACACTTGAAAGTTTTGTCAGGCAGACCCCAGCTGTGGCTATCACAGTATCAGGCACCTTGTTTAACCCCAGAGGCTGGCAGAGTGGGCCCCTTCAGAATTAAATTACCTCTTGCTCCTGTCACCTCCTTAGGCCGTTGCTGTCCTGTCCAAAATTGCATTTGTCTTTGAATCCTACTGCCTTTCTGCTTTAAGTCCCTTTGATTCCTATGAGTGTGGACACTTTAGCCTTTTATAATAAATGTAGCTTCCAGGAGGTGTCCACTTTGATGTTAAAAACAGCATTTGCCTTCCTGATACTAAAAGAATGGTTCCTCAAACAGCTGTGAGCGGTGCATCAGCAATTCCATTATCAGCAGTCACCCGAGTGTGCTCATAAACAGACGCGCTTGAGGCTAACACGTGCTTCTTGGACGTAAAGCTTTAAGATCTACAAAAGGAATGCAGCCTATCTGTGTATCCGTCTCACAGTATTTAATGTTTAAGTAGCTGCTTTGGGGGCATAGGTGGGAGGAGGGGAGAGGAGGCTGAAAAGATAGAAAGAAAGGAACTCAAGAGTAATATATAAATGTGTTGCACAGCCCAGGACTTTGCAACAACATATGTGCAAACATTACCTTTCTGTAGCAAGTTAGTCAAAGGCCCTAAGTGACAAGACCTGAATTCCCTCATTTATTCTGCAGTTATTTGAGGGTTTTTTAGTGACTATAACTATTGACTACAGTAGTGTTTTCCAACCTGCAAAGCCTGTGAAATTAGTGGAGCATGAACAGTATTTAGTTATTAAGTTGAAAGTTTCAGAGTGTTATACTAATATCTAAGTATCAGTATTACTTCTCAAATATTTGATAGCATTTATACTGTATATATGATCCTGGGTCATGATATAAACTTACTTCTCAATATAGTTCATTAACAGAGTTCAAAATCTACTAACTTCCTAACTGGGAGTCAAATGTTGCTGTAATCTTCAAGCAAGTGTTTCCAAATTTCACCCCCTTTCCCTCAAAAAGTCAAATTGGTACATACAAACTACCGTTGTATGAGCTGCCTCAGTCTCCAACCAGATAACTCTCTACAGTTAAGGTTTTGAAAGCATAGTCTCAAATTTCTGAGGTGATTGTGCTGGAAAATGTGTTCATCGATTTAGTCTAGAGATGAGTTCCGGGAGAGAGAAATCGAACTTTAGCTCTCCAGAACCTCAACCACAGATCTTGCCTGAACTTCATATTATTCCAGAAGTCCCTCGATTCATCTAACCAAATAACCTACCTCATGAATCCTGTTTGTCTAGGGCTTTACAGTTATATGCATTATCTGTTTGACCCCTTGTAATAATCATTTGGAGTAGATAAAGTAACTATTGTTATTTTTCCAATTTTGCAAATAAAGAGAGTGAGAACCAAAGAAATTTAGTAACAAGAGGCAAAATCAGGACTCCAATCAACATCTTCATTCACTCATTCAGATTTCAAATCTCAGGCTTAATCAATAATCTCATTAGATTCAAATCAATGCCTTCTTTCATTCATTCAGACTTTAAATCCTAGAGTTAATCAATACTTTTCCTCTCCTTTTGAAGAGAAACTTAGGCACCCATTAACTGAAGTAGTTTTATCAATTAATATTTCATTAGTGAGTCTGTAATGAGAGCAAGAAAGGAAACAGATTGCCTTATTTTCCATACTGTGTTCTGACTGGGAGAGCAAACGAGAGTTGATAGGTTGAAATGTCAGCTTTCAGTTTCTTCCTAATGAAGGAAATGTCAACAATGCCAGCTTCTAGTCTGTTTATAACAAGATCTCATTCAATATTTGACAACCACAAAAGGACAAAATGTTTAGGGAAAAATACTGTCAAATTTCTAAATGGTGTTCTAATCTACAGAGCATGAGAATAATAGAAATGGCTCAAGGGTCTTAAAACTAATCAAAACATTGAATAAAACCTACCTCCAGCAAAGGCCCAAAATGAAACTCCACTGAAGATTTCTGTTTGAGTTAAATATTGCAACATGGGCAGACAGGCTCCAAAGCAAACCTGTTAGTGACCCATCTCTCCCTGTCGCTGGCTGGCCAGGCTCTTTGGCTCTCTGCGGGAACTACCACCTGATAACAGTTCTCACCCAGGGCTTGTGAGAATACTTTTCCCTTGTTAGAATATGCTCCCCAGAAATGACTTTCTTTCCTCCCTCACCCCGTGGCCATGATCTTCCCCTCAGCAAGATGATCCCTATTACTTTCTCCTTTTAGCATCCAGAATAACATTAACAAAATCACTCCTAAATTAACAGCCACTGCCATTATTATGCGGGTGCCACCCTGATCTTTTTTCCTTTGCCTTGTTCTCTTGTGATCCCTGAGTTCCTGAGGTGGCTCTGGCTTTTAGGTGCCTTCTTATTTTAATCCTCACCTGAGGATATGTTTTTATTGATTTTTAGCGAGAGAGGAAGGGAGAGAGAAAAAATATATATATCGATGTGAGCGGGAAACTTTGATCAGTTGCCTCCCACATGCACCCCAATTGGGGATCGAACCTGCAACCTAAGTATGTGCCTTGACCAGGATACATATGTAGGAGAGGGAAAGAGAAAATATCTCGCTGTGAGTCTATGCTGATGTCTTCTGAGGTGGGTGGTCTTCATTCCAGGTTGTGTGTGGGAGTAGGTGAGCGTGTTAGTCTGTTCAGGCAGCTATAACAAAATGCTATATACTGGGTGGTTTATAAACAGCAGACATTTAGTTCTCACAGTTTTGGAGACTGGGAAGTCCAAAGTCAAGGTGTTGGCAGATTTGGTGTCTAATAGGAGCCCACTTCTTGGTTCAGAGACAGCGATCTTCTTGCTGTGCCCTCACCTGGCAGAAGGGGTAGGGGAGCTCTCTGGTGCCTTTTTCATAGGGGTGCTGACCCCAATCATGCGTGATCCAGGAGCAGTATCTACAGCGAGGCCACATCCACAGAGGCACTGGTTTTAGCCAAGACCCTCATTTCCTCCTTCAAAGAAATAATCAAGCAATGACTATAATGCCAAATGGCAGGAACAAGAACTCTTTTTTTTTGGTCTAATACTTCTTGGGTTAGATCCATCTGGAAATATGTTAGGGAGAAAACAAAATGTCTTTTTTTGTTTCTCACCAGTAAAAATTGGACAAAATGAACTCTTGAAGGAGGGCAATCACATGGCTGAATTCACTGGGAGGGCAAAGGCCCAGGCCATCTGTCAGGACAGAAGGCC